TGGCATTTCGTACTTAGAATATTCTTTTTACAAAGGGTAGAACAGATGCCCACAAAAAATATATACACAAGTATACAAACAAAAAGAAGGAAAAACAACTAATCGCTGCCTAGCCCAGCAGCGCCATCCACTTGATCGCCTAAGCCATCTCCATCCGCCTCTCTAACATCTCCATCGCCATCACCATCGGGATACTCATCCTCATACCAGGCATCCTGTTCAATCCGATCCACGCCCGCATCCTCCTCGTCGTCACTGGCCTCCGGTGTAGCTGGGTTATAGCCACAAGCAATCCCAGCTGTACGTGCCTTAGTACGAGCATCCTCGAAGTCGGCCTCAGAAACTTTCTCCGCCCCCATCAAATCTCTAAATATATCCAGTTAGGTCTCGACGTGGATCCACTTCTCATATAGATCCCGCGGAATATCAGGAAAAGCAGAAGTGCGGGAGGAAGATGGCTGAGCTAATAACTGTGCCTTCTCGGCCTCAAGAGCAACTACTCGGTCACCAAGGCCTGAAGCCTCTTTTTCCAGCTCCACTATCCGTTCATCAAGCCGCTCCTCTCTAAGCCTGACCGTCTCTAGAGCACTCTACCGCTCAGCACGAAGAACGCGGACCGCGACCGCCAAAAGCCTCCATTTTCCTCACAGCCCCCGACCAGGCCAACTCCGCCTTCTCCCACTCCGCTGCCTTCTCAGTGACCTCGCCACTTAGAGTGTCCACTTTGACGTGACACTCCTTGAGCTCGGCGTGCAACGATACCACTTGGGCTTGAAGGTCAGCGTATTGTGCCTCAACCTCCTTGCTCACTTCGAGCTCTTTTTCTTTATCCTCAACGCCCCCTTGAGAACGCTGCATGTTTTGATGACTCTTACCAACTCATCATCATTCTCTTTCAGCTCATCTTGGAGAGCCTGGAAGCTGCCACTCTTACCAAACCGCCAGCAGATCTCGTGGTGCTTATTGCGGTACTCACGATACTTCCGTTCCATCTTCTGAAAAATGGCCTTGCGCCTCTCCTCTCGGCAAGCACTATCAATTTCCAAAATCATAGTCTAAAAAAGAAAACCAAGGGAAAACAACAAGTAAGAATGAAGTACAAAGCACGAAATTTGAAAGGAAGGTCGAAATGCTTACCATAAAGCGAGGCCGGCTATACTCCTTGATAGGGTAGCATCGTCCAGCTCCTCGAGAGTTCTATCCTCCACGTCAGAGCAAAGGGGACCTAAGGAATGGATCACGTTCTCCATGTTCACCGGTAAGTCCCGATCCATGGGGATCGCAATGGTCCGCCTGGACCCTTCCAACCTCACTTCAACTCGAGTAAACCCCTCGCTCATCATCCGCACCTCGTCGGCATCAATATCGGAGCCCGTTTCATAGCCGTCCTCGACAACACCCTTAATTCTCCCATCGGCAGACGAAGAAGGAATGTCAGCCGTCCGTGAGGACGATGGCTCATCTCGTCTCACAACACCTCAAACTTCCACAGATGGCCCCCCACTTCTAGCCTCGGCATAGTGAAGGGGTACGCCTTCTATGGCCTCCTTTGATGGCGGGACCTCAAATGGTAAATAAGCGTCATCTTCAAGCACGACGGTCGCTGGCTCATGATCACCCATCACTAAGTCCATGGCTCGGACGGTCTCATCGCCGACGTCCACCGATCTCCTTTTACGAGAAATTAAACCCTCCTCGCTTGGCGATGACTCCTCTTCTTCATCTACTAAATGACGCAAGGGGGAAGTCGGGAGTTCTATTGCTGATGCAGTCGGCGATCGAGCCGACCTAGTCGCACAAAAAGGAGGTATGGAAGTAGACAACCGGGCAGGCCTGGCCGTCTTCACAATATGAGCGGACTCCGAAGAAGTAGTTTTCCTTTTACGAAATGCAGGAGGAGGATCCCTCGGTCTTCTCAAAGATCCTCAGGCTGAAAAAGCAGATTAAAAGGTCATCATTCCCTACACGAGACAATAACAACTAAGCGACCAGGAGGTCGTAATAGCATAGATGTAAATGGGTAAACTTACCGGTCACGGAAGACGCATGCCCGAACATCTTGATGAAGGCCGGCCATTCACGAATCCCCACTGTATGAGGCAGAACCCGGCTAACCGAATCATGTATGTATTCGACCAAAGGAGGGGGTGCAGTCTTGGCTACACAAAGAAAGAACGAAATGTCAAAACATGACTAAAATTGGCAAAACAAATGCTTGATATAAAAAATAAAAGAGAAAGAGATGCTTACGAGCATAATTCCAAGCCTCAGGGAACTCGCTCGCATTAGCCACCACGTCCTCGGTTTTGACGAAGAAGTAATTGAGCCAAAACTGAAAATTTGCCTTATCGTCCATCTTCACCACTAAACATTTACTTCCTCGGTGGCGAAGGTGCAACATCGTCCCCCTATGGAAACTAGGGGCGAAGAGATGCATCAAGTGACGAAGTGACACCCCGACCCCGGCTAATCTCGCGTATTTCGTAAGCATGCGGATAACTTTGTAGATGTATGGAGAAAGTTGGGCTGGGCAAATGCCGTAATAGCGGTAGAACTCCTCCGCCAATGGGAGAATAGGAAAGGAGTAGCCAACATAGAAAAGGTACGCATAGCAAGCGCAATATCCAGGGCGGTGTATTTGTACCATATCGCGCCCTGTTGGAATAAGATCGATATGGGCGGGAATTTTGAACTTTGCCCTAAACTCCGTGAGTTCAGCCTCTTTCATCGACACCGAGACCTCAGGGTCGTCCTCAGGCACCTTCGAGAAAGTGGATCTAACTTTTTCACTACTACCGATTTTCTCCTCCACCGTAGGAAAATTTTCGTCTTCAACGGCAACAGAAATACTATCGTCATAGGGAGGCATACGCACCGCCAAAGGAACAGGTCAGTCACCCTAATGGAACAAGAAGATACGTTAACCATTTTTTCTTTTAGAAAGGATGTAAGTACGGAAGGGTGGTGAGCAGTTGGTATCACCGGAATCAGGGAAAGCAGGTATACGATAGTGAGCCAAAGAGGGCAAGAACTTTATGTGAAGAATAAGAAAAAGATACAGAGATTCAGTATTTAGAGTGCAAAAGATAAACGAATGATTTCATATCCCTATTTATAAGAGTTCAAGACTCAGGATCGAGAAATCAAACCATCATTAGCCAGCGCAGGTATCGAAATGGCAGAGGCACGGGAAACAACGCAAGGCATCGTTAAAATGTGTAATAATGACGCATGATGTCATGACGTCACTCTGAATCGATGTGACCTCAAAGGTTGCGGCTCACGAAAGGTCACGTTGTCACCTCGTCTGAAACGCCACTACTCGACTTGCTCGTCCCAATTGCCCAAACACGACAAACAGGGTCCGCTCATCAAGGCCGTCCGGGGTCGGCCTCAATAAGCGGAGGGACTAACTGTATAGGCAAAAATTTGCTCTAAGGAAATTTAGCGTAAAGCGGCATTAAGGAAAGGATCGACCGAGGTCGACCAGGAAGCAGTGAGATTCGTGGTCGGGCTGTCAACAGCGACCGAGGTCGAGCACCAAGGACAGAACAATAACGACTAGTTTTTGTAATAGGATAGTAGAGAGAATATTCTATTAGGGTTTGTTAGGAGTGTGTCTCATATAAGTAGAAAAAGAGTCAATAGAGTAGGACACGTAATATTCACTTAACAAGAACACTTTTTGAGAAGAAGATTCTCTCTCTAGCAAAAATACAAGCTTTACCTTTTCATCAATTCTTGCTCACATTATTCCATACTTTTTCATCAGATACGAGAATAGTTCGAACATTCTGGGATTTGTCTGTCATTCATCACTGTTAGAAGGAATAATCATCTTTCTCATTCATTATTGGGTGAATCATTCTCCCTATTTACATAAATGTCATTTATTGCTTGATGTTCCTTTATTACTGCTCACCTCTTTCGGAATATTAAATGTGCATTACTTTCAGTTTATCACCGACTTTATCTTACATTATTCATGCGATCAAGTTCTAAATCTAGAAATATTATCATTAACTAAGTTTAACCCCTCATTACATAAAATTAAATAGTTTAACTGAAAGTTTATATTTTTTGGTCAAACACACAGAACATGAATATCATCTCTAATTAAACTCCTCTGTGGCATACAGATTGGGGGGAAAATTTAGTCAAAAGGATAAGAGATTTAACAATTAATATCCATAAAAAGTACATTTTTAATCGTAATATCATTACAACTGTTGCCATATCTTAACTCTAATAATGCAAGTAAATTGCTTAGTTGTAACACGTTAATTTAGCATTATCGAAGGCTGGGCAGCTTATTTACGGAAGAATTAGAAACAAAGTACGTACTTAGTCAGTTTAAATATTATGTTAAATCTTCTACAAAGATATCATGCTCATGACCTTGGAAACATAAGCATGTTACCAAGATTATATTCTCTCGCAGATATTTCAAATCTACCCTTCAGTAATAAAACCAATTTTAAGCAAAAAGTTTATATACATCTAAAATCACGAGTTTACGCATGGTTCGAAGAAATACCGCATCCTAAATGGGTGGGAAGTAAGTGGCAGCCAGAAATTTTCGCAAGGATGTTCAAACTTGAAGAAGTAAAGAAATATGCCGATAAAGGGTGTCCAATATATGTTATATACATCTAAAATCAATATTTTACTTATATATACAATGTAATTTTTCGTAATATTTACCACCCTTAACAAAAGGTGGCTTGGCCCCCTGATAGGCAGTCTACCCTGATGCAAGCATCAGTGGCTGATTTCAGGGATCGAACCCGCGACTTATAGGTCACACAGAAACAACTTAACCATTGCTCCAAGACTGCTTTATGAGTAGCAACAATTTGATAGACTATATTTTTGTGCACAGCATACAATTTTTTGGCACTAGAAGTTAAGATGACCTATAACAATAAGTCGATATTACGTATAAATTTATTATAACTGGTTAAAATATAGATTAGCGACAAATGGAGAAGGTAAATAAATAGAGACAAAATCAAAACTTCAACTTATATTAAATGCACAGGAGATGTAAAATACACTTTGTCTATTTTGCTTAAAAATGCAATAGTTGTCAATAACCACTAAGATATTGTAGGCTATTACCAACAAATTCTTGCCAATGAACCTTGTTAAAATTCTAACTAACTAGAGTACCCTTTTTTTTCGCTTTCCTTTTTTCATCAACTTTAAATACAAAGGTAGAAAGTTTAAAAAAAAAAAAAAAGAAAAATTGTCAAATCTGCATTACAAGGAGATATTCTTAGCTTAATTAACACCAGAACAAGGAAAAAGAAAGAAAAAATCATCCCTAAAGTTTCAACCATCACTAAATCACCCCTCAATTTGCAATGAAGAGCCAGCTGCATCCAAAACAATCAAATTGTTTCTTTATTAATTAAACAAGATGAAATGAATCACACCAGAGACTAGTCAAGAAAATTTTCAATATAATATACAGCAAGCACTTATTCTATATTATATCCAAAGGAGAATGGAGCCAATGTTCTATAGGTTCAACTGAACTCAGTACTTTCAAAATTGTTATCGCAACCGTGTTGGATTCTCCAAAATACACTACTTTTGCAGGATCCGGTGTGCATCCAGTGACCGTTTTGAATAGTCCAAGCAACATAATTTTCAACATTGAACATAAATTTATATGCGAAAAAACACTAAAATTTCAAAAGTACAATGAATTGATCAGCGCGAAAAATCTATCAAATTTAAATCCTGGATCGACCTGCCTTTATCATAACAATCAACTAATGATCCAATTCATGTAAAAGGAAAATTAGGAGTAAAGAAAAAGACTAACCAGAATCATGTTGATGATCAGAACCATGATCTCTTTGATGATTTTCCATACACTGAAGTAAGTACTTAAAAGTCTCAATCTCACAAGGAATAGTAAGTCCACCAGTATGATCAAATCCAAATTCTTCTTCAACTTTTTCCAACAAAACTTTGAACAAAGGATCACTAAGATAACTTGTAGGAATTATAAATCTTCTAAGTTCAGGTCCAACATAAACAGCTAAATAACCTTTTGGAACACCATGTGGTGGCTCTGGACTCTGGCAACTTTCGTCGTCTGAATCGCAACATATATTTGAACTCTTTAACCTCTTCATTATAGCTGGTGATATGCCTCCATAAATATTTCCATTACTATTGTTAGATGATTGAAAATGGCCATTAGTGCAATGGTTTTGGTTGTTGTTTGCTTTGGGACTAAGTGTAACATTTTGCCATTTATGCAATAACTCTTTGAGTCTCACAATCTGTCTAATACCTGTCACTTTGTTTCCAGCTCCTTGATCATCCATTTTTCCTTTGCTTAATTATCACAACTAGATTGATGATGAAGAATATTACCAAATTTAGATTGACAAAACCTTCGATTCGCTCTCGGAGAATTTGACTAATCAGATCTTGTTCCTCTGCATATTCACTGTATACAATGTATACAATAGGTATATAAGTTTCCTCCTCACTTTCTTGAAAATATTGAGAAAAGCTCTAATAAGGAAATTAGATAGCTTAAATAGAAATAACCTGATATGTTAATGATTTTTTGATAACAAGGGAAGATTACAGACAGATCCATTGTGCTAAGACATATTAAATTATGGTATACTTAGCTGTATTATTTTAATGATTGAATCCATGTGAAATTCACAACGCGTATGACTTTACTAGAATGAGAAGCATTTTCCAATCACATGATCAGCAGCTAATATAATCATTTTAGAAAATAAAATATTACTACTTAGTAAATACTTTAAAATTTTTGGATACATACATGCGAAGACATGAACATATTATAATATATATATTAGCGTAATATCATAAGAAATAAACAAATAATGGCGGTGACATGCATGAAGGTAATTGCTTTTCTTTCTTCTTGATTTAATTGTTATTTAAGACACCCTATTATTACTCTTTCGGCTCAAAAGATAGAAGCAAGCAATATAAGCCAAGATTAATAAATTAGACAACTCAGTCGAATCTCATCAGTGGGGTCTGAGGAGAGTAGAGTGTACGCAGACCTTACCCCTACCCCGGAGGGTAGATAGGCTGTTTCCCGGAGACCCTCGGCACGGAGACAAAATTAAAGATCCGTAATAACAACAGAAACCAGAAAATAATATCAGCATCGTGAGAGACAACAAACAAATGGAAGGGCAATAACACAAATACTATGCAGAAAGTGTGAAACACAACATAAACCCCTAGCAATCCTAGACAAAACACTATCAGACTAGCTGGTACAAAGAGGAAAAACGCTCGACTACCCCCTAACCTACAACCCTAATGCTCGACCTTCACACCTTCTTATCAAGAGCCATGGCCTCAGACCAAATTTAAGTCTAAGAATTTCATAATTTGGGTAAATTATCAGATTTCATAGACACCCTAAATCAAGAATAAAAAATTAAAAACAGATCATTGCATATCTTCTTTGTGATTCGATCCAATATTCATGCAGTGATACTGAAGAGAAGTGGTAATGAAATTAACAAATGACCCAACCAGATCAATTCACACAAAACTTTTGTTGCGCGTACTCTCCAAAATGCTGCCGGATCCTCCAAAAAATACACTACTTTTGCAGGATCCGACAAACATACAGTGACATTTTCGGAAAGTTCGAACAACATAGCTTCAAAACAAGCAGAAAAATTATACGCATAATCAAGCCCATTTATGACCATGGGTGTGAAATTAGTATATATATATATATATATATATATATATATATATATTCTTAATCTCTTTTTTTTTGCCCCTCTATTAAGCTCTCATCTGCCACTAATAACAGAAATTACATGCATGCATGCACATGAAAGACAATTTAATCAAATCAATGATGCAAAGAGAAATTAGACAAATTAAATGAGAAAATAAAACAATAACAGATTATATTTGATATTTACTTACCAGAATGGGATGGTCAAAAGCTGGTATGAAGAATAGAATAAGACATCATATGACCATACAAAAGCTAATTAATTGGAATTGCATGAAGAGAAGCTTAATTTGGAGGGTGGTGGAAGTTTTTGGCTAGAAGATGGAAGGTTCTATTTTTCTTTTGTTAAATAGTTTCATAAATTTTTCAGAATTCATTAAAATGAGTAATGATTCTGAATAAAAGATCATATGAATTTCCATAATATTATAAATAATACTGAAAAACTGACTTTTCTTTGCTTATGTACTCATCCTTTTTGGTTGCATTTTATTTCTCCCTTAACCTGTGGCTTCTCCTGTGTTTTCGCTCCCACCTGTTTTCTTTTACTATTTTCCTTTTTTAGAGCCCGTTTGGATTAGCTGATTGTAAATAGCTGAAAAGCTTGAAGTGCTAAAAAAAATTTTTAAGTGCTGAAACGATTTTTAAAATAAGCATTTACGTGTTTGGATAGAAGTATTGAAACTAATAATAAGCAGTCGATGTATTTGATTAAAAAGTGTTGATAAGCTATTCTTTTGTTAAAATGACTAAAATACCCTTGAACTTTTTTTTTTCCAAAGATTATAAATTTAAAAAAAAAAGAATTAAACGAATATGAAATGAAGAGAAAGTCAAGAAATTTATTTTGGGAAAAGTATTTTGTGAATTAGAAAATATTATTAAGGATAAACTAGTAAAAGTGTTGGTCAAACTAAAAGTTCTTATAAGCTAAAAGCCATAAGTTGGGGGTGACCAGCTTATGACTTAATTATGCCTGATTTTAGCTTATAAGCACTTGGCTTATAAGCACTTTGGGCGTTTACCAAACGCGTAGATAAGTCAAAAAGTGCTTATAAGCCAGTTTAACCGGCTTATAAGCTTAGCCAAACATCCTCTTAGCTTATTTACTCGTTTTTTGCATTCTTTCCTAAGGTGAATAATTTATGTAACATAATTTGAAATAACCAGTTTGAAATTTAAATTATATGGGTATAACGGTTAAGGTTTTTAGTACTAAATTCATTTTAAATGATAGTGAAAAAACTAAAAAGTACTTTATAGACTACTAATTATGTATATATGAAGGAAAAAAAATTGAAAACAAAGTGTCATATTTTCCACTCTTGATATTTTATAACAAAATGTTCATTCCTTGGTTTTTCCTACTTGTATTGCCCCCTCCACACGTCCTATCTAAACTTCTAAGCCAAACTGAGGTAAATGTAGGGGTGTATATAGACCGGGTTGGTTCGGATTTTATAATTGCCAAATCGAACCAATTGTGTCGGGTTATTAAATTTTAAAATCAAACCATACCAATAAAACTCAAGTTTTTCAATCTCGATTTTTCTCGGGTTTTCGGGTTATTCGAATTTTTTCGGATTTCTTTTTCCGGTAAAATCTTCGTAGAACAAAACATATAACTAGTGCTTAAAATATTTCTTTAATCCTAGTAAGATACAACTATATAAAGTATTTTCCAAGAAAATAATACAAAATATGAGACGTGTCATGGCATTATCCTAAAATATTTAACAATAAAGACAATAAAATTATGTAATATAAATATTGCTAATTAAAAAGCCACAATAAAAATAAACATAATCTAAAAGTACTAAGTCATGCTAAAATAAGTAGACTAATAAGGGAGTATTAATTACATGACTAAACGCTAAAGAAAAAATAAAAATATAGGTTATGCATTTTTATCTAAATTATTGCAAAACAAAAAATAGATATTCAATACATTCCCGTTCGTAGTATTGAACTGAATGTCTTCTGTTAGCATTAGTATTGATTTGATTTTGGTTTGGGCTTTTGTTAACATTATTTAATTTACTAATATTAATGGCTATAAAACTTATTGGAAACATTCAAAAGTTCTAAGTCCAACCTTGAAATTATACCTTAAAGATAAAATTATAAAAAAAATTAAGAAATATTTATAAATTACATCACAATAAGTATATTTATATATTAAAATATCTAAAATTTCTATTTATGTAATGTCGGCTTGGTTTGGTTTCGGTTTGACTTTCTTTAGTTAAAAACCAAACCAAACCAATTATGGTCGGTTTTTTTCCAACACCAAACCAAATAAAACCAAACCATAGTCGGGTTTTTTTTCTTGGTTTGACTCGGATTATCGGGTTGGTGCGGTTTGTCGGTTTCTTTTGTACACCCATAGTAAAATGGTTCACTACTCTCACTTTCCTTTTTAGTCTTTTTAAAAAAGAATTTTTTTATATTTAGTTATAACTCGTTAACTCCAACTTTTCACATGCATAATTAAGACCCCAAGGTTTGAAGACATTTTGGTACATTACATATATCTTTAGTTTAAGATCACAAAATTTAAAAGTCTTCCTTGCTTTTTTAAACTTCGTGTTCAGTCAAATTAAAATACATAAATTGAAACGGATGAAGTGTTTTTGTGGGGTTAACGGGAAGCAATTAGTTAAACTTGTTACAAGTAACAGGCAAAATGGAGCAAAAATAGTTAATTGAAATCAACCGATATTTTGTAATTACACAAAAAATATGAGGCCATAACCAAAGATTCTTTTCTTAATGATGTACGTTACATTAAAAGGGCAGCCCGGTGTACTAAGCTCCCGCTATGCGCGGGGTCCGGGGAAGGGCCGAACCATAAGGGTCTATCGTACGCAGCCTTACCCTGCATTTCTGCAAGAGGCTATTTCCACGGCTTGAACCCGTAACCTCCAGGTCACATGGCAGCAACTTTACCAGTTACGACAAGGCTCCCCTTCAATGTATGTTACTGATGATAGGCTATAATTGCATATTTTAGTCGCTTATTACACTCGAATTTACTGCACTTTAATTGAGTTTGCACTTTAATCGCTAGTGTTTTGCACTAATTGTGTGTTTTATGCCTTGTAGGTGTGATTCCGAGCTATATAGATGTTATGGAATGAATTTAAGTGATTTGAAGCTTTGAAGTCTGAGTAAAAGCTCAAGGAATTAAGCCGGGATCGTGTTCGGAGGTCAAATTTGATAATTAAGTACGAACGAAGACTTGAGGAGGCATATTACGCACTGTCTAGTAAAATAGATATAACGTTTTGCTCAGAACTCCATTTGGGCTCCACAATATATGGTTGGAAAGCTAACTCAAAGGTCTACAACTTTCATGTTTTACGTTTTTTCAAATTCCAAACGTAATAGGGTGAAAAACGCGGTCGAAACCGCGACCGCGGAACTGACCGCGGCAGAAAATCAGAGAACTTGTCTGGCCGCGGTTCTACCGCGTTTTGGCCGCGGTCGCGCCGCTCCAGGCGTCAAAAAGAAGTCCTATTTCGCCCGGGACAAGTTTATTTCGGCCCTACACTATTCCAACTTGTATAAAAGGGGTCCTAAACCTATTTTGAAGAAAGAGGAGGACATATTTTGGACACAAATTAGACCTAAGGAGGCGGAGAGACACTACTTTAGGGTTAGACAACACCCTTGGAGGCAAGAACACATTGGGAGCAAGGCGGAGAATTCTTCTACGAGTTTTTTCCTTCCTCTTCCTATTTTTCATTGTTGGTTATGACTTTTAGTATTGTAGTTTTACATACTATTATGAATAGCTAATTTGTTATCTAGAGTTTTGATAGAACCTTTTGTAGGATAAATTCTTATTATGTTTTTATATAATTGAGCCATAGCTTTTCTCTATTTGTTCAACTACGTTTATATTGTGGTTGGTTGAAGAGCTCTCAATTAGCTGTGCCTATTTAGTATGCATAACTCGGGAGAGAGTGCATATTTAGGTAATTGTTAAACAACACCACTCCCAAAGTATATGAGGGATCAATAACCGAGGGTTTAAAGGCGGGATTAGGGATAACGAAGCCTTGGGTGCAATCTGAAGTGAGCTGTATTAAAAGCCAGCTAGTGTAGCTCGGGAGAGTGCGTCTAGTAAATTGTCGTAATTACTCGGGAGAGATTTACGGTAATAAGAGTGCTCATGATCGGTAGAGAATACTTAGGCGAAATTATAGAAGACATAGCGGGAAGGATTCCGACAATTGGGGAAATCATAACTCTAGACCTCCTTAATCTTTTCTCTAACCCTCAGTATCGTTAGTTGTTAATTTACTATTTTAATTTGTTAGTTAAGTAGTTAAACACAATAATCTTAATATCTATAAGTTAGGAATTGTTCAAGCTTGTCTTCTTGGTGATAGTGAACTGCTGTAGCTAAACCTTAATTCTCTGTGGGATTCGACTCTGGACTTGTAAACCGGATTATATTTGCAGCGACCGCTTAGTCCTTTTTATAAGGCATAGTTGGGCGTGATCAGTTACATTGTATAATGAGAAAAGGTAAAACCCTTGTTATTAATTAAGGTTTCACGGATACCTCGTATAGAGGTATTCGAAGTTGTTCTCACAGCAACGTGTGTGGCTGACAAATAACTATAGCAGTTAGTAGCCCTAATTATCTTCTACAAAGTTGACAATTATTGGTTTACTCCTTTGAATCATGTGAATCTATTACATGTGCTATACCATTATTGCAGAAAATTTCTTGTGGATTGAGTAATTCCTTGAGGCCAGCAAATTGTCAGGATCTAAGCTAAAAAATATCAGTTTTAAAGAGGATGAAAAAGAAAATCATAGTGCATTCCCATTGCATTGCAATGTTGGTATCTAGGAAAAATATATAAAGAAAAATACAAATATGGAATTACATCTGTCTATTCTTTTTTTTATTCTACTCAAACAAAGTCTTTTATTAGGTTAAATCAGCAACCGACAAATTTACAATACAACTAGGAGTATACTCCCAGTTGAAAGGACTAGCATAATTTTTAGAGATGAGCAACTAGATTTGCTTGTCTCTTAACCCAAACTAGAGAAATATTAGGATTTCTCCCTAATAAGAAACAATAATCCTCTTAAAGTACTTCAAACTTTGTAAAATCTTTGTTGAGGATTACAAGAAAGTACAATTTTTTGGGTATTACATTTAGCTATCCTCGGGCCATTAAAATGTTGACTCATTCAAATGAGAGCAAATAAACTCATAATTTCAGCATGCCTAGCATTGGTACAACCTAAAAAAACCAAAGAAGTTGAAGCTACAAACTGAACTGCTGAATTATGCACAACAGTCCCTGCTCCAATATTCCATTTCCAGACACCATGTGGAGGCAGTGGAGCCTTAGACTAAGAGGAGGTAGTCATAATAAACTTGTACAAGTACATAAATATGAATAATACTAAATTATCTAATATCTGCGTTATTGAAAATTCTTGACACTACTAGAAATCCGGTAAAAAGCGACCACAAAAAGCGACCAAAGTTGGTCGCTTATAGGCCCAAAAGCGACCAAAAAGCGACCAAACATGCCTGGTCGCTATATTGCTGGTCCCTTCACTTTAGGGACCAAAGTTGGTCGCTAATTAGCAACCAACTTTGGTCTCTAAGGTAAAATGACCAAATATTCCGGGTATTGACTATAGCGACCATCTTTGGTCGCTTTATTATTTTAATAATATAAATTTGGCGACCAAAGTTGGTCTCTAAATGTAAAATATATTATTTATTGATTTATTATTATTCATAAAACAGCGACCAACTTTGGTCTCTAATCCAAATATTATATTTTAAAATCTGGAAAATGGAGACCAAGGTTGGTCGCTATTTTTTTAATTTTTTTTAAAAATAAGCGACCAAAAGTGGGTCGCTAATGTCAAGAATTTAATTTTTTTTAATGGAATAGCGACCAAGGTTGGTCGCTTTTTAAGAAATCTGGGTAAAAAGAGACCAACTTTGGTCGCTATTGCCCGTCAAATTATTTTTTTTAAATGACAAGCGACCAAAAAGAGACCAAAGTTGGTCGCTTTTCTGGGTATTATTTTGGGAGAAACTGCCTGTTTTGGCAGCTACACCACCTGCCAGCATACCAAATCCCTATTACAAGCAACAACAACAACAATACCAACAACAACACAACAACAACAACGACAACAACAACAACATTAAAACCAACGAAGTATAAAGTTCAATAGAACTAACACATTAAGCTAACAAAACTAAGTTAACGCTTATTACAAGCCCATTCGAAAGCTAGTTCTATTGTCTAGTTCAAAGTATATAAAGTACTCAAGGAGTGTTCTTTCAACATCCTCGTCCGAATGATGGATTGCCTCGCCCGACTCATTAGGTGGCTGACTGCGTATGAATTCCTCCACATCAGGTGTGAAAGGAACCTATAAGAAAAATTATATTAAATTAGTATTTCAAAATTTATATAAAAGTAAATAAAAATACTTAATGAAAAGTAAAAAACGTACATGTATAGTCGAGGCTCGACCCACCTTTCTGAATCAGTCTCTTTCTTCTTCTTTACAATACGAGTTTTATTGAATAGCTCATGATCTTGCTTCATTGGCATCATAAAGCTGTCTGGTGGCTTTGGTGATTATCCTCGGGATAAACTTGGATACAGAGAATAACTTGGATACAGTAGCTGACAGGGTGTGTCTTTTGATCAATTGTTGTTCTCGTTAGCGACAATGATGATGAGAATGCAATGACATGTGCTTCAAATAGTGATGGTGTAGGCAGGAATTTTAACATTTTCTAAGTAGATAAAA